CAGCAGATCTACGGAGGACAGAGGGGGAGGGGGTGCAACAGACTCAGAGAGAGGAGGGGACGGGGAAAGCTGGAGGTCAGCTGGATCTCGACCGGTAGTAAGCCTTGATGTTGGAGGGGTCCAGCTTAATAGCCTCCCTCGTATCCTCTATCACCTTCCCCCAGTTCTTCCTCAGCAGCTGGACGGCTGCTGGGAGAGTCAACCGGCGAAGGCCTGCAGCAGAAGTTGACCTGCTCTGTTGCACAGCAAGATGGCGTTCTGCTGGGGTAGCGGCGACTTGGCCTGTTCTAGGGTCAGTGAACGGAAAAGCGAGACGAGAAGAGGGAAGAGCAGAGCAGAGCAGAGCAGAGCAGAAGGGAACGATAGAGGAGAGGAGAGGGAGGAGAGCAGCAGCAGCAGCAGCAGCAGCAGCAGCAGCAGCAGCAGCAGCAGCAGCAGCAGCAGCAGCAGCAGCAGCAGCAGCAGCAGCAGCAGCAGCAGCAGCAGCAGTCACCTCCAGCGCTTCAGTGTAGAATTTCACAGCATCCTCGTAGTACTTGGGTCCTCGCTTGAGGGCTCTGAAACACAAGTGAGACCGCAGCAGCAGACGAAACAGCTGAAAGAGAACAAGGAGGATGGAGAGGGAGAGGATGAGCGACGGGAAGGAGGAAGGGATGGAGGAAGGCAGGAAGGGACAGTAAAGCAAGTGGAAGAGGGAGAGAGGGAGAGAAAAGTAGACAGCACGTGAAGGAGCGGGAGGACGCCCAGGAGAGGCAAGGGGAGGTAAGGAGAAAGCAGGAGGGGGAGGGGGAACGTACGCGTTCCCCTTGTCCTTCAGGGTCTCAGCGATGTACTGCAAGTCATCCTTCACTGGAGCAGAGGAAGCGAACAAGAGTTGCCTCTGGTGGGTCAGGCGTCTTCAGCAGCTCCATCCCCTCCACCTGCTCCTCCATCAGCTACCGTTTCATCCACAATGAGGAGACAGGAGAGAGAGAGCAGGAGCAGGAGCAGAAATGACGTACAAATGGATTTCCTTTCTCCTTCTCACTGTCCACGTCAACCATGAAAGCAGGATGAGAGTTCGGGTCCCTGCATCGTAGTTGAGCCAAACAGACAGACAGAACGCATTAGAGAGACAGACAGACAGACAGACAGACAGACAGACAGACAGACAGACAGACAGACAGACAGACAGACAGAGACAGAGAGGAGGGAGTCAAAGTGGACAAAGCTACCATTCTTCTGGCAGCGGTTTGCCCTTGAACATCGCTTCCATCCGTTCCAGAGCTTCTTCATCCTCTTTCTCCTGTTGTGCCTTTTCCTGTTTTGGGACGATTAGACAACAACACAGTTGCTTTTGGGAAAAGCAAAACGGGATGACGGAGGAGGAGGAGGAGGAGGAGGAGGAGGAGGAGGAGGAGCAGCAGCAGCAGCAGCAGCAGCAGCAGCAGCAGCAGCAGCAGCAGCAGCAGCAGCAGCAGCAGCAGCAGCAGCAGCAGCAGCAGCAGCAGCAGCAGCAGCAGCAGCAGCAGCAGCAGCAGCAGCAGCAGCAGCAGCAGCAGCAGCAGCAGCAGCAGTGTACCAACCTGTGCTGATAAAACCCTTTGGTTTTGCTCGTGCAGCTTTGCAGAATTGATGTTATAGTCTTCGGGGTCTACAGACGAAGCCATGCTCTGCAAGACAGACAGGAAGACCATCAGCAGCTTCTCCTCTCCCTCCCATTGAACGTCTTTCTTCCCCTTGTAGGGACCTTGGACTCTGCTCTTCCTCCATCTGTCTCCCTCCTTCCTCGTTGCCGTCCTCCCTCCCTTCCCCCCCCGCCTCCCTTCCCTCCCATGCGAATTTTCACGTGCATGATGGAAGGTTCTTTTTCATCCCCCTCATTCCCCCGGGCCGCCTGGGCCTCGGTCAGAGGCCTCGGTCAGGGCCTCGGTACCGTAGTAGTGTACCGGTCTGGGCGCCACGCCGGTGGCATGGACCTCGGCCCCCGTTGGGACCTCGGCCCCGGACTCTACACCTGCAGCCGACTCTGACTCTCCCGGCTGTCCGATCACTCACCGTGGCAGCCTGTGCCGGGCCGGGCGGCGGCGGTCGGGCCGGAAGTGGTTTGACTCTGTCATGTGACAGTTTGACTCTGTCATGTGACAGTGTCAAACTGTGTCACATGACAGAGTCAAACTGTCAGAGTGCCGCGCGAGAGTCCGATGACATGCTACCGCACGGCGCGAGAGTCCGATGACATGCTACCGCAGTGAGTCCGGGGGCAGGCTTCGAAGCCTCGGAAGCCCGGCTGGGCCGGCCCGGCGACTCGTCTGTCGGGATCATTGAATGGCCGGGGGCACGGGGGCCGCGCGGCCAGTCACGCGTCACTGGCTGTCGGACTCAAGTTGGCCGAAGCCTTCACTGAGGGTATGATTGCTGGCGGCACGCCCGGCTCAGAGGCTACCGTACCGCCCGGGCACCGGCCGGCAGGACTCACTGTCCCGGATCTCAGGCTGAGCCCGGGCGGTTCGAGTCACCCGGCGGCCCGGCCCGGCTCCGACCGTCGTGGCAGTCGGACAAGAAGGTCACTGACCCAGTTTCCCGCCAAAAGGCCCTGTGACTACCCTACCCCCGACACTTCATACCCCTTTGATTTTTATGTACCCCTTCTACAAACATAAAGTACCCACCCTATTGAAGTGTACTGGATTGTTCTTGGGTGTACTACCCGCCATTAGTACTAAGCACCCCATGTCCCTTTTGCAGCTATTCCTCAGGATCCTTCCCGCCCTCTCGCCCTTCTACAATGGCGAAAATAGCCGCTGCTCCTGCGCCCCCCTCTCCCTCCCTCCCTCCCTCTCTCCTTCCCCCTCCCTCCCTCCCAGCTCCAGCTCCAGCTTCTGTTCCACTCTCCTCTCTCTGCTATTTGCTTCCTGCTGCTGCTCCTTTTCCTCTCTCTCTCCACCTCAAGTTTCTTCGTGCCCATTTCTCCTCTCCTCGCAGATCGCCTATGTTTCCCACTGTTACTCCCGCCAAAGATCACTCTGCGCTTCGAGTGCTGCCTCCTCCTCCCTCCCCGTTTTCTCACATTTCCATCTCCATACTGACGCATGCAATGTTTCATCCTGGAAACGTTGTCAAGTCTGGAGCTCCCTCCCCTCCTCCCCTTGCTAGTTCTATGCTCTTTGCATTCCTCTTTGTAGCCTCTGCCGCCTTATCCTCTCTGCCTCATTCTGTCAGCTTGCCTGACGAACAATTCCTTGCTATCTTCCGCCATGTCCGCCATGTCATGACTCGTACCATCTCAGGTGCTGTAGAAATGGCCGACCTCTCGCAACTGTTTCCCAGGCTCCTGTCCTGTGACAACGCAACTCGACAACAAGCAGAGCAGGAGTTCTCTCAGCTCCGAGATCATGACCTTAACTTCATCCCCTCTTTGTTCAGAATGGGGAAGACCATGGCGGATCCTCAGGTACATCGTCGGGCTTGTCTGCCTTGCACCTCTCTGAAGCTGCATGCCAGATGCGCAAGATGTCAATCGTCCTGTTCCGGCGGAGTGTCACCAGCGAGAGGTGGTCGAAGCTGGACGTGAACACGAGAGGGCAGATCAAGTCGGAGCTGCTGGAGAGTTTGACGGTAGAGAGCGAGATGTCAGTCGCGCGCAACATCTCAGACGCCATCTCCCGGGTCGCCTCCATCGCCTCCTCAGCAGTGCCTGCCACCTGCCCTTTTGAGCGAGTCGATGCTGACGGGATGTCAGAGGGCTGGTCGGAGATCCTTCCTTTCGTCTATAACTGCTGCAATGACGTGAAAGAAACGACCAAGTCGTTGGGGCTAAACCTCCTGAAGTCCTTGTCCGACGACATCGGCGAAGACATCGTCCTCCCAGCGGTCCAGCCTCTTCTGCCCGTGCTCGAAGCTGCCCTGTCCCCGCAGAACTCGCTGGATGTCAGATGCATCTGTCTTTCAACAGTCAGCAGCATAGCTCCTCACTTGTGTGATGCCAGGGGCAAGCAGATGCAGGCCAAGTTGCAGTCCCTGCTGCCGAAGATGATCTCTGTACTGCAAGACGCCTTCCAGTCGGGAAGCCGCGACAAGTCTAGGACGTGCCTCTCAGCTCTGATCGACCTCACCGCTCAAGACCCCGGCTTTGTGAAACCCTCGATCGAACAGCTTCTCGCGTCTGCGCATGCCGTCACAGGTACGTGCTCGCATGTCTCATGCCCGACGCTGATCCTTCTACAGGGAATGCGGAAGTTGACGATGATTTGCGAAGCCTCGCCATGGAGCTCATTGTTACTTACGTGGAGAACAAGCCGGCGCTGGCAAGAAAGATCCCGCAGCTGACGGAGAACTGCCTGCCGGTGATGATGTCGATGGTGGAAGCGATCGAGGAGGAGGCGGATTGGTACAAGAATGTCGGCGACGAGGAAGACAAGGACGAAGTCGAGGAGCTCGTGAGATACGGCGAAGAGTCGATGGAGAGATTCTTCCTTGCCATGGGAGGAAATCGAATTTCATCCACCGTTGTCTCCATCATCTTGAACAAGCTCAACTCAGACAAGTGGCAGCACCAGTACTCTGCCCTGCGAGCCCTCGCGCTGCTCCTCTCCTGTGCCGAGAAGTCTCTCGCCTCCAACATCCCTCACGTCCTGGAAACAATCAACAAGTTCATGGCCGGCGGTATGCAGATGGTGACCTGGGCTGCTCTTGGGGCCCTTGCTGCCCTATGCACCTGCTTCGCCCCCACTGTACAGGAGGAGTACCATCACGTGGTGCTGCCCTCGCTGCAGCGATTGATGTCGAGTTCCCATGAGAGGATACGATCCCGTGCCGCCAAGGTGAGGCTGGTGAGAGAGGGAGTGATGTTGGGCTGACTGCTGGCGACAGTGCCTGGTCGATTTCACGGCAGAGTGCGAGGAGGAGCACGAGGAGATTCTCCTCAAGTACTCGGACGAGCTCATTGCCAGCCTCCTGTCCATCCTCGGATCGGGCTCCATCCCCCAGCAGAAGTGTGCCATCACTGCTGTCTCCTCCCTTGCTTCCGCTCTCAACGAGAACTTCGTGCGGTACTACAATCACCTCATGCCTGGCCTGCTCAGCATCTTGTCGTCCTCCGATCACAGCGTGGGAGAAGACTACAGGGACCTCTGCGGACGAGCGATGGAGAGCATCTCGTGCATCGCGGATGCTGTCGGCACTGAGCACTTCTCCAAGGACGCCCCAGCCGTCATGAACCTGCTGATGTCCTTCCACGAGAGGAACCAGACGGGGGATGCTCAGATGTCCTACTTCCTCCAGGCGTGCTGCCGCATCTCAAGGAGCATGGGCCAGTCCTTCCTCCAGTACCTCCCTCATCTCCTCCCCCAGGTCTATGGATACGCTGGTCTGGACCCCAAGTTGGACATGCAGGAAGCAGATCAGGAGGAGGGAGAGATGGACGGGGAGGCGACGATCGTAAGCATCAAGGGGATGGGCAAGATGCGAGTCAGCATCAACATCAAGGAGCTCGAGGACAAGGCCCTCGGCTTCAACGTGCTGGCCGCCCTTGCCGAGTCTCTCAAGGAGAACTTCCTCCCCGAGCTCAAGAGAGCCTCTGAGATTCTCATTCCCGGTCTCACCTACAAGCTCTCCACCTCCGTTCGCAGGGCAGCCGTCGACTCCATGCCGAAGCTGCTGGTGTGCGCTCGTGCCGGTATGGAGAAGGGGATGATGAGCGAGGGCGACTTGGTCCTGCTGATGGGACAGATGTGGCCGTTCTTGCTGCAGGCATGCCTGGTGGAGACCGAGGTGGACGAGCAAGAAAACATCCTGACCAACATCGCTGAGTGTCTCGACGCCTGCATGGCATCGTCCTTGGATGACCAGCAGCTCGCACGGCTGTGCGAGACCATCAAGATGATCGTGGACGACATTGTTGCCTCTCCCTCACAAGAGGAGGAGGAGGAGGAGGAGGAGGAGGACACGATGATGATGACCATGGTCGAGGTCATCTCCAGCGCTCTCAAGGTGTTCAAGTCAAGGTTTGCCCGCAAGATGCAAACGTCTCTCCTCCCCGTCTACGGTCAAGTTCTCTCTAACGCCAAGTCACTGGACATGCACAAGTGTGCCGCTCTCAACTGCCTGTGCGAGGTGATGGAACACGGCGAAGATGTTGCTCGCTCCAACCTCAACAACATCGCCGCTGCATGCTTGCAGTTCAGCTGCCATGACGACGCCGCTGGTGAGGCTGTGAACGCGGACCAAGGCAGGACTCTGACGTAGTTCTGATGCAGTCCGACGATCAGCTTGCTTCGGTCTTGCCGTCTGTGCGGAGAGGGGAGGCGACGGGTTCGCACCTTTCATCCCCAAGGTGGGTCGGGGGCTCTTGCGTCCTTGCCAGCTGATGTCTCCTCGTCCCCTCCAGGCACTGGAAGTGCTACATGCTGTCGCTACTCACCCGAGCTCGAGGGAGGAGGGAAATGGCGAGGCAACAGACAACGCGGTCGATGCCGTCGGCCGCATCTGCAAGTTTCAGATCAAGACAGCCAACGCAGGAGAGGTAAGAGCGCTCCTTGTGTCGCCAACGTGACCGGGAGGGACGGGAAGGGGAAGGAGAGCAAGGAGAGCAAAGGGCGGACGGGAGGAGAGGGAGAGGATGTGAGGTCGACGGGAAGACGGAGAGAGGGAGGGAGCGACGGAGGGACTGCGGACCATGAGAGCATGTGAGCATGTGAGCGTGAGTTTGACTTGCTGCAGATTCTTCCCACGTGGGTCTCGTGGCTGCCCATCAAGGATGACGTGGACTGCGCCAAGACCTGTCACGCCTACCTCGCCGAGCTGCTCGAGCTGCAGCACCCAGCTGCCGTTCAGCAGCCCCTCGTGCTGGGGAAGGTGCTGGAGGCGGTTCGATCTCAGGAGGATCTCGCGGACAGTGAGGTCCGAGCCCGCCTCCTCGCGACACCTCTCCCTTGAGCTGGCCTCCAGCTGAAGGACAAGTACATTATTGATCCCTCCCTCGGAGGCTTAACTTCACTTATCGCTCATGCAGTACATGTAACAAACCTCTGCCCCTAACCTCCTCCTCCTCCTCCTCCTCTGCTACTGCCGCTGTCGCTGCCTGCTGTTGCTGCTGCGGCTGTTTCTGTTCCCGCTCTTCCTGCTGCTCCATCCTGACATGCCCCAAAGTCTTTCTCGTCCCCGCCTCTCTCTCTTCTCTGACAGAAGTTCCTCGTCTACGCGCGAGGACTTGGAAGGAGGTCTAGGACTTGGAGAGCTTCATGGTGAGCTGCTTCGAGGCGTCGGCGAGGATAGAAGTTCTCGTCTGCCGGCTCTTCTCCTGCTCCATCAGCGCCTGCAGGCACTCGACGAAAGTGCTGCGACAGGTGTGGTCGCCGCTGCCAGGATGTGAGACGGGAAGGAGAGGAGAGAGGAGAGAGGAGGAACGGAGAGAGCGGGGGAGGGAGGAGAGGAGGGGTTAGAAGTGAGGGAAGAGGAGGGGAGAGGAGGGGAGAGGAGGGGAGAGGAGGGGAGAGGAAGAGAGCACAACAATCGTACCAGGGCACCGGGCGATCCGAGGAGGGGCAGGGCCCGCGGAAGGAGGAGCGAACACAGTCGGAGATGTAGGGGATCCCGTAAGAGTTGCCTCCCCTCGCCTTTCCCTTGCACTTGCCGAAGTCCTGGACGGTTCTGATGTAGTTCATGAGCGCGGACATGGTCTGGTAGGCGAGGGGGAGGAGCTGGTCGAACTTCTGGTCCTGCGTGTCCTGGTCGATGTAGGACAAGATGCCTCCCTCGAAGACGATGTTCCATGGCGCCATGTCCTCGAAGAGCGGCATCCGGATGAAACTTTCGTAGAACTTCCGCTTCTGGTAGTTGTTGAGCCCCATGCGCAGCAGCGCGATCAGGCTGATCGCCCTGAGCTCCTTGTAGGGGATCGAATGCTCGTCTTCCCTCCTCGTCAGCGTCAGCTGCCCCGGCAGGTACGCGTCCTCTCGCTGCGCCGGCACTCTCCTCCTCTCCTTGAAGAGCATGTCGTACACGCGCGCGTGCCCGTCCTTCTTGTAGTCGAAGTGATGATGCGCCACCCGCGTCATGTTGATCAGCCGCACGCGCAGCAAGACATGCCCTCCGAGCTCCTGCAGGAACGCTACCTCCACCTCCGTCCTCAGTGGCACCGAAGCCTCCTCCACAAGGTCCTCGACGATCATGTCGAAGCTCGGCGGGCGAGAGGAGGGGAAGAGGAGGGAGAAGGCGGTGGAGAGGAGGCGAGGAGAGGGGAGGAGGAGAAAGGTCGTCATGGCACAGGACAGGAGCTGTCCCAGAAGAGCCTCCTCCTCCTCCGCTGCCAGCATCAGCTGCATCGGCTCCGCGTACTGGAAGCGGAGGAACTCTGGAGACTCGTAGAGTTTTGGGATGACGTCAGCAGCTGCTCCGTTGCAGGCAACGACGTTGGCTGGCCCGCACTCCTGGAGGAAGAGGACGTGCTGGAGGTGCCCGAGCTCGTCCTGCTGCACGGTGACGAAGGTGCTGTGAGGATGGAGGGGGGAGAGGAGCTGAGAGACGACGGGGAGGGACTGCGAGTACTCGAGGAAGGAGAAGTTGTGGTGGGAGGAGAGGAGACTTGCGATCGTGCTCGCTGCCGCTACACTCCTGTTGACATGGTCCGGGTCCACCGTCCTCGCTGCCTCCTCCTGGTAGCTGCAGGCCTTGACCTTCCCCATCCTCTTCTTGCTCCTCCTCCTCCCCTCCGAGTACACGCGCGCGTAAACGTGCCGGGAGTGGTCGAGGGGATCGAACTTGAGCTCATCCTCCAGCACCACTACATCGCAAGGCAGCACGGGCTGGTCCGGCAGGCTGAGCGAGAGGAACTTGCGGAGGAAGAGAGCTTTCGTCTCGTTGAGCATCCCAAACGCCAGCAGCGTCTCTATCGACATCCCTCTCCGGTTCCTGTAGAGCTCCTCCTCCTCTTCTTTCCCCTCCTTCCCCCTCCCTCTCCCCATGAACGACAGGCGGGTCGACCCTCTCCTCATCCGCATCACCGCCTCTCGCGTCCCAACCCTGACCTGCCGCACGAGCTCCTCCGCCGTCAGCTGCACCAGCTCGAAGCTGCAGCCTCCTCCTGCTCCTCCAACTTCCATCCTCCGCGGGTTCAGCCTCTCCTCCTCCAGCCGCCGCACCAGCTCCTGCGTGCTGTCGTATCCACTTGAGAGGTTGAGGTGAAGGACCTGCATGGCTGCGCGCAGGGAAGAGGAGGGAGGCGCGAGGAGGAAGGAGGAAGGGGCGAAGCGAAGGAGGAGGGAGAGGAAGGAGAAGAAGGAGGAGGGAGATCTTTCCAGCGTAGCAGCAAAGACGTGAGGGCCGAGGATACAGACGTCGAAGGGCTCGGGGAGGGAGAGGAGGCGTTTCACTGTCCTCTCGGACATGCCGAGGAACGAGGAGTAGAGGTTGGTCAGGCGCATCTCCCCTGCTAGCCGCCGCTGCATGCGCGCATGCTGCTCGTGCTGGTGGACGACGAGGACGAGAACGTCGGGGAGGGAAGAGGCAATCTTGACGCCGAGGAGGGAGAGCTCAGAGCCGAAGAGGAGCACCTTGCTGCTGCTGCTGACGTGCTGGAGGAGGGAAGAAAGGAGAGAGTTGCAAGACTGGACCATGGAGGAAGAGAATATGTCGATGGGCTGTGGGGGCGGCAGCGATGTGCCGTCCTTTGACTTCTCCTCTTGCTTCTCCTCCTTGTCCTCCTCCTCCTCTCCCATCAGCTTCCTCTTGCTCGTTGTCTTGTTCCCCCTCCCCTTGCTGCTCTTCTTCTTGACCTCTGCCTCCTCCCCGCCCTCGCTATCCTTCTTCGCAGTGTCTTCCTCCTCCTCCTCCTCCTTCTCTCCATCCCCCTCCTTCACTTCCTCCTCCTTCGCAGACTTCTGCGACTTCTTGGCTGCCGATCGCTTGTGCGAAGACGCACCATCCTCCTCCTTGTCTTTGTTCGCCTGCTGCTGCTCCACAAACGCCGGAAGGCTCGACAGGCAGACGTCGAAGCTCAAAGTCTCTGGGTTGTGCGCGACTTGGAGCTGCGCGACCGAGCTCCAGGAGAGGAGGGGGGCCCATGGGGGGAAGGGAAGGTGGAGCAGCTGCGAGAAGAGAGAGGAGACGACCTGAGGCTGCAGGCCGACTATCATGACAGCTTGCAAGGAGACATGCCCCCTCCTGAGCTCGCGCGCAGGACGATCCTGCTCGTGCTCCCTCCCCTCGGGGGTGAGAAGAGCCTTGCTGTCCTTGATCCTCAGCGTGTAGGAGGAGGGGGTGAGGAGGGCAGGGGCTCCGAGCTCCCTCCAGCTCCTGGTCTCCTTACACAGCAGGTTGTCAAGGTCAACGACTCTAACCCTCCTCAGGTCACCCTCCAGCACCTCCACCAGCAGCACGTCCATCCTTAGCTGCTTGACCTCGACCTTGACCTTGGGGCTGATCCTCCTCACGCTCATCTCGATCAGCCGCTGCGGATTCTTCTCCGTCTCGCTGACAAGGGACAGCAAGCTGCGCAGCTGCTTCACCGGCAGGAGGGTCACGTGCGAGAGGAGGAGGAGCCGACCGAGGTGCAGGAGGACCTCGTGGGGCAGGAGGGTGTCAAAGAGAGAAGGGAGCTCTCCCAGCACGAGGACGTCGAACATAGTCGCGCTGACGAACAGACTCCTGACCTTCTCCTGCTTCAGCGCATGGAAGGCGACGAGGCACGAGAGCCTGGAGGAGGAGGAGGCCCGCTGGTTGTACTCCTGCAACCCGTCCAGCGACGAGGCGGAGAAGAGGCAGAGGGGAGCTGAGAACCGTTCGTCGACATTCCTCGCTAGCTGGGCGAGAGAGTCCCCATGGAGGAGGAGGGAGATTTCCTTCCAGCCTTTCTTGCTTGCCACGTCTGCCGCTGCCTTCAATGCCCTTTCCCCCCACCCGGACGCGCTCTCAACCTCCCCGAAGAACCAGTCGCGTTTCTCCTCCCCGTCCTCCTCCTCATCATCTTCCCCGCGCTCGTCGTCCTCGTCCTCCTCCACTCTACCCGTCGAGATCGCCCTCCTGATGTAGAACAGGGAGGTTCGTTTGTCCTCCGACTTCCTCCTCCACAGGATCTTGCTCTCTTTTCTCACCCTCGCATACTGATCCTCCGTCCCCCCATCCTCGCAGTCGCTGCCATCCTCCACCTGCTCTGTTGTCCAGCATTCCTCGTTGACGTACGTGTAGCACACGAGCGGGTCGAAGCGGGTGCCAAGCTTGAGCTGACTCCTGCCATACTCAAACCTTCTTTCAACGGTCGACGTCAAACTGCGCGAGAAGATTGAGCAGCGCAGATCTCGCGTTCTCCCTTGATCCCACAGCACGAACTTCTCCTCCTCCTCCTCCTCCTCTCCTCCCTCGCAGTCTCGTCCCGTCATGTTGCCTGGCTGAGCATGAGCTGGGTGTCGGAGAGGTGAGCGAGACGCCACTGGAGTAGGAGGCGCCGGCATGACCCGATGCTCATCGACCCTCTGCCCTCGTTCCGGTACAAGAGCAGAGAACAAACTTGCTGGTGAGTCGGCACTGTTGCTGTTGCTGTTGCTGTTGCTGTTGCTGTTGCTGTTGCTGTTGCTGTTGCTGTTGCTGTTGCTGTTGCTGTTGCTGTTGATATTGCTGTTGGAGGAGGAGGAGGAGGAGGAGGAGGAGGAGGAGGAGGAATCTTTGAGCTGCTGCGGCTTCGTCTTCGTCCTCTCCTTGCTCGCTCTGTCAGGCTCCGCTACCTCATGGACTCTTTCTTTCTGCGTCTTTAGTCGCTGCAGCAGGGAAGCGAAGGAGCCGTCGGCATGGACCGATGAGTTCGTGACCTCCGCCCGAACAGCAACCTTCTCCCCATGCAACAAGCTGCTCTCAGCCAACGGCGTCCTGTTCGACTTGATAACTCCTCCTCGACCACCACCACCACCTCCTCCTCCTCCTCCTCGCCCCACTCCTCTTCCCGGGCTCCGGCTATGGTTGACATCATCGATGGAGTGCAGGAGAATCAGAGGAGTCAGAGCGAGGATAGAGGCTGCGAGGATGAAAGGAAGGACCAGTTTCTTCATCCTTGCAGTATCTTCTCCCTTGCCCTCCTCTCCTCTCCTCTCCTCTCCACGCCTCTCCTCTCCTCTACACAATTGCTGTCACCGAATCTTCAAAGATCGTCTCTTTCTCGTTTCCAGTCCAGAACTCATTCTCTGCACAGCAGCCAGCTTCAATTCAGATTTACGTAGCAGGGGACTCGGGTGTCAATACCAACTACCCCGTTGCCATGGACTTCGCCCCTGTCTCTCATTCTTTGCCATTCACGATGCCGCTTTTGATCTGCAAGGCTGGCACCTGGATACAAGACGGAAATCGGAGCTGCTCCGCCTGTCAGGTCGGAAAGTTTTCCCAGGCATGTGGAGGTACCTCGTGCACGGCATGCGTAGCAGGGACGTACACGTCACTAGAGGGACAGACAGCTTGCCTGGAGTGCGTGGCGGGCTACTACTGCCTAGGCGATAGTGATCAAGCTCCGTGTCGACCAGGGTTTCTACTCTGATCCT